ACTCACCACAAATGTTAATATAATAAATATATCGACTGTGTTGCTTCGTTTATGCGCTGACACTGTCAGTTGGCGCGCCAATAAATATGCGTTGCTCGTCGTCGCCGTAGTCGTCGCCGTTTGTCGTTATCGTTTTTACCGGCTGCATTGGTGTCCTGGTTGCTCAGTTCAGCTTGGACTACTGCATAAAAAAAAAGCAAAATCCTATTGCAATTGCAATGAATGTGGCGCATTAAATTACACATATTTTACGCCAGGCAGCCAGCTTGTCGGGCAGGTCGGACAGACGAGGAGCATTTGTGCAACAAAAGTTATTGTAGCGCCAAGTGGCAGGTTATGTTGCATTGTGCAAAGAGCGAATGCCAAATGCGTACACGTAGACACATATATTTTTCAACAATTGGAGAAATGCATAAATAAGGCATTCCAGAGTGTCAAGAGTTCGAGGCGAACTCCTAAAATGCTCAGGCATATGCGAATAATTGCCATAAGAAAATGATCAAGTTGCAAGTTGCTTGTTTCTGTTTTCATCGTTGCATATTGTTGACATTGGAATATGAAACAGATGAATTTCGCATTGTATGAGGTAAATGTGTGCACTAAGATATTAATATCACGGGTCCCATTTTATTTTATGCTACGCATAAATTAAAGACATCCACGAAAATTGCAAAATTGTAAATAAATTATTAGAGGTCGCCAACAGGGTTTGAAAAAATTGATTTGTTTCCAAATCACAAAAATTTTCACTTGTCAAATTTAGCAGATGGCAAGTGAAAATTTGTCCGATATTTTTTTATTTTATTTTTTTTTTTACGTAGAATACGTCCTATGTTGAAATGTTGTAGTTGTAATTTTTAGAGCTTTACGAAAACGCTTATTGCACGAGAACTAATGAAGCGATTTCAAAGAAAAGTATGGTATTTCAAAGATAAAATTCCAAACCCATCGTCAGATTCAATTTTGTAAGTAACCAGTTCGGTTTCTGTCATAGAAAGAACGGTAAAAATTGGCTTATTTCGGGGTCAATTGTGAGCCTTTAAAGTGCTCCACCAGCTTATGATTTGCAGATATAACTTTAATTTTTTTAATATTTTAACGGTTTTGTTACCGATATTTTTATCGATTTTAATATCGATATTGTTATCGATATTTTATCGGTTTTATTATCGGTACTTTTATCGATTCTGTTATCGATATTCTTATCGCTTTTGTTATTGGTTTGTTTATTGATTTTGTTATCGGTTTTGTTATCGACTTTGTGATCGACTTTGTCATCGATTTTTTTATCGACTTCGTTATCGATTTTGTAGTCGATTTTTTTATAGATTTTGTTATTGATATTTTTCGCACCTTCTAGGTCAGCGGTGGGCAGATTTTTGGGTATTAAAGCAGTCAAAAAGCCAGCAAGTGCTACGCATAAGGTAAATCAGAGTTCTCAGGCTAACCCATTTAAAAATACATTTAAAGCATTATATTTATTAGTAATGAGAGTCGGAGTACAAGAAATTTTAATACACTTCCCCCTTCTGGCTGTTGGCTCTTGATATTACCCCTCATCTAGCACCTTAATGTGCCAAGCCGGCTCCTAAGTTCAAAAGGCTCCCGGGAGCCACTTTGCCCATCTCTGCTCTAGTTGCATTACAAAATGGTATGAAAGAGTAGAGCTCAAAAATACGCTTAGCTAAATACAAAACTGGCGTTCGCAAATCTCTTGCTAGTCACCAATTCAGTGGGGATGACCCTTTTGACTGGCCGCCTGGCTGTCGGGTATCATAAAAACGTCATAATGCGCCCGCCGCTATAAACGCTTAGTTAAGCGGCGAGCGACCATTAATTTGCGCCGCCAGCAAACTTTTTTCTTCTTTTCTATTTTCTTTCATATGCACAACTTACTTTCGCCGCCCAATGTTCCTGCGCTGCGTCATAATGCTCGGCAGACGTAAAAAGTAATTACCCTTTTTTCTCCCCAGCTTGCAATTTTTTGCATGCGGCACCATGTGGCATGCTCAAGCGCGACATACAAACTCGCCCATACACTCGCCATAACTGAGCAAAAGCGCAGCAGAAAAATTTTATTCATAGTATAAAAGCGCGGAAGAAAAATGAATTCTTTTCAGTTCTTATTATAAATGCAAGCAGCCAAGCAGCAGTGGCAGTTAATGGCTGGCATACTGGCAGTCCCTGAATACGGGGTGACCATCATCAGTTTGACGCCACTGTTTGCAGCATCATTGTCATTAGGCGCTTTCGAGCATCGGTCTTCCCTACTGGAGTTATAATATTTTGTGTTTGTGATTCATCTGCATAGCTGCCGTGAATCAGAGCTTTGGTAATGACTACAATGGGCAATTTGGTTGGTGGCGCTGTCTTTTGTAATCGTTGAGCTTAATTGCTATGCAGTCGGACTACAGAGAAGAGGGCCAATGCTGGGGTAATGAAAATTAAGACTAAGATGAAAATGGAATAGGAAATGGAGTCAAAGCTTAAGTTGAAGATCCCCTTAATTTCTGTAGCAGCGGCAGTAGTTCGAACGCGGCGCATCTAATGCGGAATTTATTATTTAACATATTAACGTTGTCTTTTTATATCAGACAAGCAGTAATTTATGCACTGATAAAAAATGTTTTTTCCGTGGAGTTATTAGGAAGTGTCACTGCTATGGCTAATATTAATGGAGTTCATATAAGTAGCATTATCCGGTCAAAAGCCCTACCAACGATAACTTTTTCCACCACACTCTTGATGGAGCCTTATAACTCTTATTTTCACTTACATACGTGATTTTCAGTCTCCCGCTTTTTCTTTCGATCAATTCTTCTCTGCTTTCATAAAATACACATACTTACTTTCGTAACTCGAGTGAGTCTAAGAGCAGCGAATTTCTTTTCCTCATCAGCTAATCACAAAGAAAATTATCATCGAAACTTATACGCTTTTGGAATTTGATTTTCTTCGTAAATATTACAACGAATTAATTTGGTTTCATGTTTATGGAAACTTTGATATGCAGATACCTACGCTGACTTAATCTTGAATTTGGTGCCTTATACCAAATCCTTTCCACGGAGAAATCAAGTAGAAAAAACACACCGTCGAATACTACGACAAAGCAGAGGAGCACGAATTTCAATTTCCTCCGTCATAACAACCCTTCAGATAGACAGATCACTGGCCGGACTCATCCATCAACTCCCTGCGCAAAAGGAAGGGATCGAAACTATAAATTTTTGTGAATCATAGGATGGCGAATAGGTGCATGCGAAATGAGGAGTTCTCTTTTCGCTCTTGGATTAAAACAATGAACCAACTGTTCCAGTGCATGGAGGCGGTTGTTCGCAAAATAATTGAGTACAAGAAAAGTACCGCAGTAGCGTTTCAGGATAAGTTCTTTCAGATCTTAAACGACATGTTACCTGAGGCCTATTTCGTAAAAGTGACAGGTGCGACAATTGTCGACTTTTCTATAAAATTTCATGGCCAGAATTATCGGCCACAGTTTTTTTGTTTCATATACATACGTTTTTAGGCAACTTTGAAAATTTTTGTAAAACGACAGTGTCAATATGGAATATTGTCGACAATTGTGCTGACAATCGCGGTATAATGGTGGTGGCCTGGCATTCATCACGCACCACACCGTGCAGTATCGTCTTATCGAAGCAGATGTCGACCGCAGGGATACCATCCTAGAAGGTCAGCGTATTTTTATCCGGTCAGGCGATGTCGAGTTCGAAATATTTAATGTTTATATACCCTCTGTCACCAGCTTCCAGGCAGGATATCTCCATAAAATAAGTCCGCTTTTCAGAGGGGAAAAACCGTATAAACAGCATATCATGGTGGCCTATGCTGAACTTGGCATCAGACTATCTGCCCATAGTAATCTCGATATACCAGCCGACTTTGCATGCGCGGATCACTGGACCTATATAAACTTTACCAAAGCTGATTGGAAAGGCTTCGCGGAATTTACTGAAAGCACCTTCGCTGCCCTCCCCACACCAACCGACGTTCACTTAGGTGAACGGAAGATCCGCAGGGTAAAGAGGGGGTTCGGCAGGATGGTGTCCTTTTCAATTACTGTTTAGCTACTACATTTTCAAGCTCCATTAACCACCAGAGGGAGTCTCAATTCTCTCTTACGCTGACGATTGCGCGATCATGGCGTCTGGGAATGGAATTGATGACTTGTGCTCGAAAGTAAACTGTTATCTCGCCGAGCTCTCTCGCTTTTTCACTGCACGGAGCCTAACCCTCTCCCATACAAAATCCTCAGCAACCTTGTTTACTACCTGAACGAAGGAGGGTACTTACGCGATGACAAACCAATTCCGATGGTGATTAACCCAAAAATACTCAGAATAACTTTCGACAGTCTGCTCTCCTTCTCTGCGCACACAACCGCAATTTTCAACAAAGTACAGAGCCGCAACAAGGTCCTCAAGTCGCCAGCCGGCAGTACCTAGGGCAAAGACAAAGAAACGTTGCTGGCATCATGCAAGGAAATTGGCCGGCTGGTTCTAAATTACGCAGCACCAGTATGGTCGCCGGTACAGACAGTATAAAACACAGCACTTCGAATGGCGACCGGATGTCTTTTGATGTCGTCACAACATCATCTACATGGCGAGACGCAAATGCGCCCCATAAAGCAGCACAATACAATGCTCTGCAAGCAATTCCTAGTACGGAGCTATAGATGTAGACACACGAGCAGAAACCTGCTTGCAGAGGAGCCCTTGCCAAGGCATGTCAGAAGGCATCTATACGAACTGACAGACGAAGTTCAGTGGCACATAAGGCAACCTCTGGCCCGTCCCTGGGCGGCATTCACAAGGAGTCAGCCTTCAAGTTACGTAGACTCCAGATCTGTGAATGGCACACAACCACCGGACGTGGACGAGACGAGCTTCATCTACCTCGGGAGACCCGGACCACAATAGCCCAACTTCACTCTGGCTACTGAAGCAGGTTGAACTCATACCTAAGTAGACTAGATGCAGATCCGCCAAACGAATGCCCGACATGCATTTTTTCGCATGCCCGGAACACCCTACACAGCTAACGCGTCTGTCCCTGTAGACAGACCCTATATAGAGGCCGTACGTTTCTTGGGTCTTCCGTTAGCTGAACATGATGACAATGAGACTGAGACACCAGCCGATCTGGTTGGTGTTGTTGTAGCCGGTACAATAACAACAACAACTATGATTTTCTGGACAACTTGTTTGTAAAGTAAGTAAATCGATTTCTCTACCCTTTTTATGCATTCTAAAGTACTCCAATCCATCGGATGTTCACAGCTTAGCAATTTTTAGAATTATTTAAATATTAGTCGACGACACCAGCACTGTTGCTACCATCACTTTCGTGTTTACACTAAATACCATTTGCAATGTTATAGGCGAGAGTGCTCCCCGTAACCGCAGACTTAGCCTGGTACCTGCTGCTGCCTCTCATTAAGATTGTTAATTTAAGATCTGTGGCGTAATTTCTTTTACAATGCCACGGAAGCTCACTCGGTAAGAGGCGACATGGCGCATGCAAAGCCAGTTGGAGTTGCGAGCTGCTGGAAGTTCTAAATATACCTGGGATTTTTTATACTTACATATGTGTGAGTATATATCCGTGTTATCACGTTGTATTGAGGCAAAGTGTAGTCTTTAATTTCCTCGCAAATACATATAAGCTGCTTCTTTTAGTCGAGCAGTTCGCAAATGATAGGAGTTAGTTACCACCATTCTTGTACACAGCGAAGGAAGTTGCAATTGAGTCTTGGCTATGCATGCATTGATGCAAGTTTATGTGTATTTGTGCGAAATTATTTGTTTGCTATTAGTGCTTCGACACTTTGGCATGCAAAATGTATTTGAGCGCATTTTTACTCGTATGCTCATACATACTTACATATGTATGAATGGTAATACTTGAAGGCTTAATAATGTACTGCATGCCTTCAGACATGCATGCATTCATATTTCCTGCAGCATGCCACCTATTAAAGATTCACAATTAATATTATTGGATGTGTGCGCATATGTTTACATTTGCTACGATTTGCGCTTCATAAAAAAAATGTTCCGACGTCCATCATTGCAGGCCATACAAATTTGATTTTATATGTGCATGAAGCAGACATAAATATACAGCAGCACATCGGTTACCGCAGCAGCGCTGGCTAGCCATCAACGGAAACACAACTCGTCGCGTAATTGTATTAAATGAATTGTGCAACACAAGCGTGGCAAGTGCAACATGAAATCATGAGCAAGCGGCGGGAAAAAAATGCTGCAAAAAATAAATGGTATAAAGTCCAAACAACAGCAGCTAAGAAGAGAATGAAGCAGCAGCATGTAACACGAAATAATAATCTTTGCGGCATCGGCATTCACACACACACACACACTCGCTTGATTGTGGCAGTCACTTCTCAAGACAGCTAGCTAGCTCTACGGCTACTAACGTTCCGATCAAACTGTCCAAAGTTAGAATGTCGGGACCGCCCTTGTACTGTACGGCAACCGCCATTTAAACGCCATCGATGCTGTTTGCTGTCCGCTGGTTGTTGCCCATTGCATGTTGCATGCTGCCGTTTTTCCTTTGGTAATTACAGTTCCTACGCCTTGTTGCATCCTCGGTGTGTCAGCCGTGACTGCCGCTTTGTAGCCACAATCGCCCTTCTCACAATCAAATTGCAACATTTACATTGCCTACTTGTTGTTGTGTTGTGTTGCAAAGCGAGCGAGTTGAAAGAAATACCAGCCAAGCTAGCAAAGCAAAATAAAATAAAACCCAAATCAAAGCAAAAACTAATGTCAGCACAAAAAAACACAGCAGCCGCAACAATAAAAGACAGCAACACAGTTTACATGGATTCGCCGGCCCTGCTGCTGCCTACCGCTATCAACCAACCGCCCGGCTTATATGTATCTACTCCTCGTTGCTAGAAGGTTGCAACAACGAAGCTCCGCACAAACGCAAAGCGAGTCCCCAAATCTGTTTTTATTATTTATCATTTGGTTTCTACTAGCAAATACTTATTTTTTTATTTTCTTTACCGCTTTTGTTGCTCTGCTTTTGGTCGACAAACAAAACTCGAGCACCTTTGGCGTTATGCGCCCGCTCTTGCTGGGACAGCAATGGCCACTGCTTTTTTTTTCCCCGGCAGCTTCTTCAAATTTTGCTAACTTTTTGCTGTCCGAGTGCTACCTTAAACGCTTTTGTGTGCCAAGCAATCGAATTTTCTTCCGTTCTGAGTTTGGTATGTACGTATTAGGGATGTTAATTTTTTCGATTGTTACGATTCCGGGATTTATTATTTAGTATTTATTATTTTGAGAGAGAGAGCTTAGAGAAGCTCTACTACTATATAATAAATAATAAGTAAATGGGTTTGGAACGTACTTTTTTTATTTAAAGTGAAAATTATTTCATAAGTAACAAAACGAAAGACCGTAATTAAATTTATAAATATGCATTTAATAATACTTCAGCGTGTACATGTCTGATAAAGTAATTTAAGGTATGTCGAAACAAGCTCGATGCAAAAAAAAATTAAGTCAAAAAATTAATGTTCTAGTTGAAAGAATATGCTAGTGGCAGGAAAAAAACAAAAGCGCCTTAATTCGACCAGTTTTGTTTATATTCCTTTTTTTATTTAAAATTTTTAATTCTTTTAAGAAAGTCTACCTGATATCACACGTAATTAACTGCATATATATATGTGCATTTCTCTGACGTCATGATTTCTTTAAAAAGACTATAATTTCAAAGATATGATTAATTCCAAATTTTAATTAAAAAAATTCTGTGCAATGTAAAAAAAAATGCGGCCATCAAATGAAATAATTTTTTTTTTTTTGGTTCATAAGGACGAATAGGAATTGAAAATGCCCCTTTAATCTATTTTAATTTTTTAAGCTAATAAAGTTAGTCCTTAATATAAAATTTGTTCAAAAATTATAATTGCAAAATTTCAAGGATATACAAAGATAAAATTATAAAAGGATATTTTCAACACCTACCTGTCCCTTACGCACCAAAAAGTGTAATGTGTTTTAATTCTACTGAATCTTCTCTTTCATTTGAAATTTTTAAATCACTTTTGAATTACTTATATCTTTTAAATTTCAAAGTTCTTTTAAAAAATCCTGACGTTAAAGAGAAAAATCAAGAACGCAATTTTAAAATATTTCACCCTTGGTTTGGCAACTGTATTGATTTTATTTTTTGTGTGCAAAATTGTCTGCCGTAAGGTATTATATGTAGATACATTGGGGTACACATTAAAAAAAAAATTAAATATTAAATAAACAAAAGAAATAAAGCCAATACTGGTCAACATAAAACGTTTATATTATTGCCACCAGTGTTAATTACAAATCCCGAAAATCGCGGAATTCTGGGCAAATAATCCCAGGATTTCCGGGACTTAAAAAACAAGGGATCCCGGGATCTCGGGATTAACATTCCTAGTACAAATGCATGTATGTATATACTAGCATTCCTAGTCACACATTTTTTTTTATTCCTCTGCTTTTGAGCGCTTTTTGTTGCTACTTGTTACAAGTTGTGATTTTAGTTTTAGTTTAGGTGTTTGATATAATGATTATAATTGTGTGGCACGAATGGTAAGTTGTTATGGTAGTAGAATAAGGAGGAGTTTGGTTAGATGAACGATAAATGGAATAAAAAGGAGTATTAACATGTAATGGGAAATTAAAGCAGAATTCATCCGTAGGCCATAGAGAAGGACTGCAGTTGCTAAAATATAGTAATAGAATAGTGTGATGTCCAGAGTTTGGGAAAATACCTAATTGAACTAGGATAGCGTTCATAAAAAGGTGTTAATTTTCATTAGAGTAGGGTGCTTAGAGTTATTAGAAATCGACAACTTTTAATGGTATTTTAGAGAGGTTGTGAGTCATAAAGTGGGGTCGATTGAAGAAAATTTTTACCCGTAAATATATATGTACATACATTTTTATATATTTAACAAAATGTGTAAAAAATATTTCAGAAAAGGTGCCTGTCTGCAAAAAGCGGAACCGAACCGCTCCATTTTTATTTTTTTTTAATACTAGAGGTAAGATTTTTGCAAGGACAGCTCCTAGTACGATTGCCCCATTACTGCCGCGTTTTAATTAAATCCCTCGGTTCACAGATTCGAAACTTGGATATTCTTTTACACACCTACGTTCCTTGCAGAGTTGCTAGCTTGTCATGGATTTTTTTTTTATAGCAGAAGGCAAACTACTTCTAGTCGTGACAGGACCTTTCGGCATAAATGGCCATTAAACTCGCTTTCTTATCGGTGTCTTCTTTCAAATCTGGTACGCTATAAAACCTGACTGAAAAGACTGACTACATATCTGCTTCTGCTTAGATGGAGTTTTCCATAGCATAAGACCTTAATAATCGATTTTTTTCCATTCAAAATCTAACGGCACCCGGTGATATATCTAATTATTCCAATAACTCACATATTTCAAAAAGGGTTCAGCATTCCTTTTGACGAAACAGCTAGCTGCGGCCATAAAGTAAACTGTATACCGTTAGTTATCTATCGCTGTGCTAAAAGTCATAATAAACACGTAAGCCGTTAATGGCTTCTACTTACAGGCGATGCACTTAGCAACTACAAAAGTAATAAAAACAAAAATTAAATGCAAAAATTTTTTAACTTTATAACTTCCGCATGAGAACAAAAGCACAATCAAATGCTTTAGAACAGCGAAGAAAAGTAATACTGCCTGCCGCCGCCGCCAAATTCATAATTAAATACTCATGTGCTTTTCCATTTTTTATGGACCATTAAATATGCGGCTTCATTTTTAGCTACTAAAAATGGTCGATGGTGGCTGTAAATTCAACAAATATTGCCCAATTCTGATGCTCCTGCTGCGGTATAGCATTCACTTGCAAAAATCATAAAGGAGTCCACATAGAATTTAGCGCTGCATAAGCCGCATTAATATAGCGGCTTTTTATTTACTAATGGCATACCACTCATGAAGCTGCGATAATATTTGTTTAACACTCAGAAGAAAAGCCAAATAAACTGCACATGAAAAATCATACCGAAGTATTGGGATGCGGTGGCTGCTTGGGTGGAAAGCTCTTATTCTGTTACCGGTTTGAAAATTGCTTTTATTGAACCATTTTTTAATGGCCCATCGTATGATGAACCACTGAATGTTACCAGATATGTAAATTCACGGAAGTCAGTACAAAGAACGTCATTTAAGCTGATTCTAAAATATTATAGTAAGGAAAAAAAAGATAGTAAAAATTGTATATTAGTCCACTCACACAATGTCAGCTACTCGTTTCATAAGTCGACTAAATTATTAACGTCTCAGGTTCAGGTATCCAATGTGGGCAAAAACTTTACGAATTTTAGTTATTCACATTCACAGGGAATGTGCTTTGAAGTGCCTCCGTCTTCAAGGCAGAGCTAACATTTTAACACTGTGGTCTTAGCAATTTGGTGCACATAAAAATAGAAGCAACCAGTTAGAGACCAAGAATAATTTAACAGAAAAATAATGGCCGAAAATCCTTTTTCCAGGCTCATTCTGGGGAGTGATTCTAAAAAAAAAACACTCGTGAGGTTTGCTCATATATGTAGCTAGGTGCAAAGGTAATTAATGAAGGGAAGGGTACTAATCAGCATCCCAAGCGTATGTACTAAATAATATCTGCCATGCAAAATATGAAATCATCTGCACAATCTAAGACAACTTACTTGACCTCTACTTTTTGATTTATTTTCACAATTTTTCTTGTTCTTACTTGTCTGTCTATCTGTTTGTTTTGTTTAACTGCTACTGCATCGTTTATTTATGTTTTTACAGTTATTGGCCAACAAACCACGCCGCCAGAATTGCCAATTTACGGTGATCCCTACACGGAAATTGCACTGGATCTAGTCTTCCCAAAGGGGAATCCAACATTCCTGCTCGAAGGCAAGAAACTGCAGCTGCTGCAGCCGCTCGATCGCGATGAGGAGAATCTGAGTCACATTGTCTTTCAGGTAAGTATTTAAGTGCAACGACATCTGTGCTCTGTGTGTTCTAAGTTATGAGTTGAGTAAAGTCAAAACTGGGGAAGCAGCATGTGTGCATAAGTTTGTGTTTGTGGAGAGTGTGTTTGTGTGAACATGTGCAATTCGGCGCACCAAAGGCGGTACGCTTGTGGTGAATGAATGCCTTGCCCATACTCACTTACTTATGCACACACACACGTGCATATATACACACATTAAAGCATAGATTGGGATGTGCAAAAGCGGTCATAAAACGCTATTGAAACACCAACGAACAAAAAATAAATTTAAAAAAAAAACTAGCAAACAAAAGCGAACAAGCTCACGCTGGCCTGCCGCTGTGAGATTTTTCCTGGTGAAATGCAAATTTTTATGGCAAAATTTTACAGTTGCACGCCAGTTGCAGTAACACACAAAAAAACGCTTAATAAACAAATATGCAAGCATTTTATGGCTGCTTTAGTTTTTGCGATTTGGCGTGGAGCGAAACAATTTTTTAAGTACATCTTATTCCGCCATTATGATACATACAAACATACAAACATACATAAATAACTACCGGTGACTTCGTGTGCGTGAGGATATGTGTGTGAGTGTGTTTGTATGTGTGTGGTTACTAGCTGCTTTGTTTATTTAATATATATTTTATTTTATTTTATTTTATTTTGTTTTTGTTTTTGTTTTTCTTCATTCTCATTTCGCTGCACCACAGGTCTCCTGCACCATTCGTGCAACAAACAAGCGACGCAACATTCCGATTATTGTGCGCGTATCTGATGTCAACGACAATGCGCCGCGCTTCATGAACACACCCTATGAGGTCACCGTGCCGGAGGTAAGAAATGAACAATCCTTAAGAACTACAAACGAAGAAAAAAGAAACTAAAAACTTTCCTAAAAGCAAAAGCAAAAAAAAACTATTTCCTTTAATTTCGCAAGCGAACCTCTTCACTGCAATCTTGATAAGCCGCTTAGCGGGAAGCTCTACGACTTGCGCCGTCTTTCCAACAGCACAACACCACAAATGCAAAGTGCCGCTTTGATTATTTGCTGTGTATATATAGTATATTTGGCAAAGCGCAAATGCGCCGCTTGTGTGCGCTTTATGTACAATATTTACAACAACAACGACGCAGAGCAGCAGTACTGTGCTCTACCTAGAATTGCAGCACAATCATTGCGGGCAACGAGAACAATTAAATATGAAACGTTCTACTAAAGCAGCGCGCCTGCGCAAAACTGCTGCGGACGCGCATACCGTTTGCGGCCCAGCTGGTTTTCTCCTGTGCCTGTGTCAGCCGCGATTAGTCCATTGGCAAGTTAACCAACCTGGTGGTTGGTTTCTTGTGGTCGCAACTGGTTTTTCGCGCCCACGCGCAACTTCATTTCATACAAAACGCAAATATTGCTCGTAGAGAAAATGCTGCAAAACGTTTGCTAACTGTTGTGGCTATTGCTACTGTCATACTGCTGTTGTTGCTCTCCTAAATGACTCGCAAGTCAATTCAGTTAATATTGACATTTACTGCAGAATAAATATGTGCAGAAATGATAAAGCACTGAATGGCGGGCGATCTTAAAAGTTGTAATTGGACTTGGAAAATAAGCATAAATCAAAAGACTTAAGCAGCAAACTTGCCGCAAGCTTTAGGTATATACATACATATGTATGTATGTATTCACATAAGTATGTTATCAATTTTCTTAATAGAAGTTTAAATCGACGAGTATTTAGCATAAATTAAGTGAACATGAAATTACTTTTTATTCCAATTTTCAAGATATCTGGCTGAAATTTGGAAAGCAGCTGTATTTTATAATGTATTAATCATTTGCCGACGGACTACTTGTATAACGTATAAATAACAGCTCCCATACAACTGATTCTTCAGATATTGGGTTTTTTGTCATAGCTTCCATATTAATGACGCTGGGAGCAAAAAGATTCATGCAAGGGAGACGTCAAAATAGGATATTTAGTAGAAGCACAAAGCACAAAGACACAGATTAAAAAAAAGAGTAAAGAAACCTAAAGATGAAGATAAAAGGGGAAGGCAAATTTAAATATTTTATATAATGACAGTGGTGGGGGTGAATATATAGATGAAGTTAAAGATCTGGGTAAATGTAAAGGAAAAGATAAAGATAAAAATGAAAATATAAATGTATGCATATACATACATATAATATAAAGGTAATAATAAAAATTAAAATGAAGACTAAAATAGAGATGGAGAAAGTGATAGAGATAAAGAGATGTATTATTTTATGCTCTGTTGTGTTATGTTATGTTATGTTATGATATGTTTTTTATGCTATTTTATGGTATGTTATGCTGTGCTGTGTTATGTTAAATTATGATATGTTGTGTTATGTAATGTTTTGTTATGCCATGTTATCTTATGGTATGTTATGATTAACTACGTTATGTTATAATATATTATGTTGTGCTATGTTATGTAACTCCCCTCTTTTAATCCCACACCAACTAATGCTATTTCATCTCGACTTACCTTGTCTCACCAGAAGTAATATTAACTCAGCTCGACACACCCTAACCCACCTTAATTTATCTAAACTCACTTCACTTCATTAACTCAACTCAATTCAACTCAACTCAATTGAACTCACCTCAACTCCCCTTGATTTTACTGGTTGAATTTCAACAGCTGGGCGAACACTAGTTATTTTTGAAGACAAATCTTCTTCTTGCTTCTGAAAAAATTATTTTACATCTTCTCGAATTTACAATTTTTTGAAAATTTTCAAGTTAAATACCTTTTTTTCTAACGAAGGGACAATCATTATTTTCTTACGTTTAATGCGGCCGCTGTGGTGTAGTGGTAAGCAGTGCACGCTGCCACTCCGCATGGCCTGGGCTCAAACCCTGGTCAAAGCAACATCAAAAAAATATAGAAAAAAGGTTTCGTTCTTAACAGCGGTCGCCCTTCGGCAGGCAATGACAAACCTGCGAGCGTATTTTTGCTATGAAAAACAGCTTCTCTCCTTTATGTAGCAACAGTAAGGCGCACACTACAAATCGAGGGATAAGCTCGGTCCAATACAAACACAGGTGAAGGAATTTTTTGTCCAGGACGAAAGATCTGCACCGTCCGCCCGATTATTAAACATGAGATGTCAAATTAAAGCGCTTGGTCTGTAGATGTGCAAACTGATTTTAGTTTGTCGAAAGGAGCTGACATCTGTTGATAATTTTAACTAAAATTATTTAACGATCATCCGAAGTGAGGTGTCAAATTAAAAGGCTTGGATTTTAGATGTGCACTGAGGTTTCGATTTTTTGAAAAGAGATGCCACCTTTTAAAAAATTATATTCAAATTATTTAAACAAATAATTCAATTATAACAAAATGGGTATCAATCAAAATGGTTTTGGAAGGCTTTGCGTGTTAGCTGAACTATAAGAAGGTTGCCACCTGTTTAAAAAAATCATATTAGGTAAGAGAAATTTGTATCCCCACATGGTTGCCAAACAAAAAATTAAATTGAAAGAATTAATTCAATTTTCATTTCTGAATTGTATTTAGCGGGGTTGCCACATGTTTGAAAAATGAAATTCCATTTAATTTATCAGTTAATTCAAATATGTATCGCAATGTACGACGAAGGAGAGTTAACAAGGATTAAGCTTCAAAATACTTTTGAAGAGGGCTGCCACCTGTTTGAAGGGTCTAACTCAGTTAACTAATACAATAAGTATATGAAATATGTAAATACGTTAGTCAAAGGAAAGAATATTAAAAAATATTTAGTTTGAATATTTGGAATGTGTTTTATGAGTTTAAAAAGTTGCATTCAAACTAATTAATAAGATGGATGAGTTAAAAAAGATGGATATCAATAAAAATGGGTTTGAAAAGGCTTTATTCCTAACTTTTACTTAGGAGGGTTGCCATTAGTTCGAACAATTAAATTCAAATTGGTTCATCAGTTTATTCAATCACAATATCAGACGAAAAAGATTTAATAAGATTTGAGTCTGAGAATACTTTTGAAAAGGAATTTCAAAATTGAGAGGTCAAATTAATTAAAGGTGGAAAGTAGCCTGTTGATGTTTGATAAAGTCTAGTTGTTTTTTTTACTAAAATTTTTTTCATCGGTATAGGTTGATTTAAAATTTTATGAAATTAAATACATGCTCTATGCGAGACTGCTCTTCACTCAGAAACAGATGTACAGTTTTAGATGAAATATGGCACTCGGATCTCTTATAACTCTGACTTTTGGAATATTTTGTTAAGTTTTTGAAATTCGATTTTGGGGAGTTTTAATGCCATGCGGGTTCACTAGTGTGAATTATTATTGTAATATGATAAAAAATATTTAATTTTATTATTTCAGTAGTACAATATGAAAAAAGGTCCTTATTAGTTGGTTTTCGCGTTGTCCACATCGGCTTTGGGATGACCGAATAGATGGTTTATGCCGGTTCTGTACCCGCTGATCTTTTCCATTATTTGACATATAAATAGTAAAAAGCTTCTTAAGGAGGACTTACCAGATCTAAAGGCACACTGATAGGACCCAATCGCCTCGTTGACGGTGAGCTTTAGAGCCTTTCGCATAATATGCCAGATCGACTTATAGCCGATGCTCAAAAGGCTGATCCCGTGCTAGTTGGCACATTTGGTGGGGTCTCCTTTCTTGTGAGTAGTGGGTAGAGCACACTTAAATTCCCGTGTTCAGGCATGCGCATATCCCACCCACTGTATTCCTCAAAGGGTTAATGCATGCACGCCATCAAATTAGCAACTCCGTACTTGAAGGTTTTCTTTATTTACAGCCCCGAATTCGCTTTTCATATCTCCATAGTTAGGTTTTTCTAATAGCAGCGTAATTCTTTTATTTTGAGATCCCACTACTTATGTGTGAAGAAACACTCTTAATAATTTAGTTCGCTAAAATGGCATTATTGTATTACATCATAATATTGAATTAAACCATGAATAAGTGTCTACTAAACTAAACGTCAAATGTACTTATGTAAGGACATACATATGAACATATATGCAAATGAAAATATGTATGTAGATATATGCATGCATCGTCGGTATATTAGGTATTAGGTATCAGCTGCCCGATTGACAGACATGCAACCAATGCAACATCAAAACGATCACCTTCGCTGTCAGAAATTTTCACATGCCAAGATGTTAGACCGTGCAGTTTTTTTGTTTCACCTTTTTCGATCTGCTTTTTATTGCTGTTATTAACTGGATATCTCTCCAGAGCATTGCCCTGGGAAGTAATTTTGCATGAAGAATAACATGAATGCAGATATAGAAGAGATTATAAAAAAGCTGTTAAATAACCCATAAAAGTAAAATAAAATTGTCTGAGTCATGTATGTTTGTATGTGTGCAAGTAAGTTATGGAGCATTGACATCTTGTAGGTTGCATGTTGTAGCCGGTTTCATACAGGCGTTGCTCCTTTGAATAAACTCATTTACTGCAAGTCTTAGACGAATGCATTTACCATACTTAATAATAACAATTACACATAAAAAAAAATATATTTATGGATTACAGCGTATAGATGTGGATATTTAAATAACAGTTGTTCCCACTTTTTCTAAGCTCTATAAAGTAATGTTCTTCAGTTTCCATGAAGAGAATAATTTTTAGTTCTTTATGTGCACTGAGCACACAGCGTAAATTAAGGGCTGATTTCTCAAGTATTTGTTTTAAATTTATCTGCCCTTTAATGCTAAATGTCCTTAACTTCCTGAGAATGAACTCTAAGCGGGTTTAGCTATTAGAAGCATAAAAAAAAATTTTAAGAAACCTCTAGACCCTTTATTTAAATATTACCATCTCCTGGCCAGTAGTAGCCACCAGATCATTCGTATGAAAATTCATATCACTTTTTTATTCAACACAAATTTTTTTAATTTGGGCGTGTCGAAACATGTTTTTGTAAGTTCTTCCATATGTACTTATGTGACTTATGTTGGCCGGCGTTATGCAGATGCTCTCACTTTGACTTTCGGTAAATGCTGCTTCCTGGATCAAAGTAAGTTTTCATCACCCTAACAACCAGCTTTTTTAAATAAAGTGGAGTTACCCAGCCACTCCTTGCTTTGGCTCAGTCAAATAGAAGGGACATTTGTATGAAAATCAGAGGTGAACGTAAATAGTTGTTTTTTTTTATTGTTGACCGATCCACTTGACGTTAATTTTCAGTTACTTTCGAATGTAATTCAGGCATACAAATACGACTATTATCATGTTTGTTCGCTCGCTGGTCATCTGTGTGGTTCTCACCTGAGGTTGCTCGTCGCTCATTTGGTTGACTTCGCCTACCTGCATATGTCAACATGTCGTTTCCGTAGCATTCTAATGAGTTTTATAAAATATGACAGATTTGTTTTTACAGCCAATCAAATCAAATAAATGATGCTAAAGTATACCTAAATATACCTTTTTAAAATATTTTATCTTTTATCGCTTCGTAAATATTTCAATATTTTCATTTTTACTTCAATTTTATTTCTCAAACCCTCAGTATGCAAATTAATATCAGTAGCAAGACTTTTGAAAAATATCTTGACAAATAACGAGTAAATTTTTTCATTCTACGAAAGCTTTTTCAAACACTTTCGTTTCCTTTCTTAAGTTTTTAAATTAATTGGATTTAGTGCCAATGAAAAATGTTTTTAATGATTTAAATACCCTTCGTTTGATACTAAAATAGTAATATTTCATTTATCTTGCCATTTTACACTTGTAATTTTTATAGGCAGGAGGCAATCCTGTTTAAAAATATTTTCTAAACTAAGCTTTCCGAAACCAACTTATTTTGACACGCTTATTGGGCACCTCATTTACCTTATTAATTTAATTGAATAAAACTTTTCAAACAGGTGGCAATGCTATTCAAAAAAGTTTGGAAACTAAGCTCTGTTAAGCCTCTTTATTTTGGTGCTCATATTGTAAAATTTATGTCATTTATATTAAATTTAATCGAATTATAATTTTTAAACTCCTACTTAAAAATATATTCCATCAAGCTCTCTTAAACCTCATTAATTTGATATCCAAGTTGTATTACATTTAATTTTTAATAATTAATTAATTAATTAATTTTAATTTTTTTATCAACTCGGTTGATCGAAATTTTTCAAATAAGTGGCAACTCTCTATTTTTAAGTTTTAAATCATCCGGAGTTTACAGTGAAAAATCAGAGATATAATTATTCTATTTTTTGTTGTTTTTCCTTAGATGTGGAGCTTGTATTTATTGTTTTCCTTTTTTTATCACATTTTTTACCATAACTATGGATCCATTTATCGGAGAGCGAACAAACAAAACCAAAACATGTTCCACAAATGTTTTAAAATTTGTGAAAATTTAATCAAAATCGGTCCATTGGTTTTTGGGTAAATGTGTTACAAAACCTTTGGAACTTTATTTTATATATAAAAATATATATGTATGTATGTATGTATAAATGTACACACAGTGCGGTATAGCAGTTACAGTAATCGTATTTTTTCATATGTTTAAATAATTCATCATATACAGTCGGCGTCATACAGAAATCGCAAAAATGCAAGAAGTTTCACAACTAGTGCTGAGTGCTTAACACCCAACAATCTTCTATATACGTGTGGATTTACATATAATACCAATAGATTGGCGCTTACACATATATTAGTGTTTGGCCGAGCATCTCCTCCGATTTGCGGCATTTGCCTTGATGTGGTCACACAAAGCGCAGAAACCCGCAGTTTTACGCCGCCTCCGAACGTCGATTGTATTTTTTTGAGAAGCTGTTTTTCATGGCAGTATACCCTCGGAGGATTGTCATTGCCTGTCGAGAGGCGACCGCTACTATACAAATTTGTTTGTTTTTTATTTATTTCTTTTTTATGTTGGGATTTCTGTTTTCGATACAAAAGAAAAACTACTTTTATGAGCGCAGATAAATTTAAAAAAAAAGTCACTTCATCATTGAGCGCCCTTGTACGAGTTAAAAATGCCTGCATTTTAACTTTAATGGAAAAACTAGTCTAACATCAGTACACTCATCCAATTTATACTTGAAAAAAATATGCATGCACTTAATCCAGTGGCTATCAGTCAAACAGTATGCAGTGATGTTCTCATCAAAACAAACGAACAAACAAAAAATATTTCGTTGATCCATATGAAAATGTTATGGCGGCAATTGCAACTTTAATGTCATCAACCACTTTGCAGTTGCTTACCGCTTTTTAGCTGTCGATAGCCGCTGTCACTTGCCACTACGATCTACAAGTAATTCACTCAAAATGCAGCAAACACTTAAATCCGGCAACGTAGCAAAGCAATCAATTGTGCGGACAAGTTGTAAACTGAACGGTAAGCAGCTACAAAAAAAAAAAAACACAAAAGTAAAGTCGCACAAAATCATTTAAAACCTCAATTATTATCAAAGTTCATACGCAAAAAAAAAAAACACAGCTGTTTTTTTATCAATTTTGTGCGTATTTTCGTTAATTAAGTGACAGTCAGTGGCTGTATGCTCGAACATGTGAAGGCTTAGCCGCTGCTTGTGGACAACTTGTCAATTTGGCGCAGTTTGATGTTTGATTTGAGTAGTTGCTGCGGCAGTTAGTCGACGTACTTAGTAACATGTTGCTCTTAATGAAGCGGGCGCTTGAACGCGCAACATGTTGCCGATGAAACATGTACCGCAGTAAGCAGCCAAATGACAACTATCTATTAATGGCGATTTTTTTTTGTGTTTATTGTTATTATTTTTTTGTGTTTGTGTTTGTGTTTGGTTTTTTCTACTACAGTTCATTCACTCTTTTGTTTACTAGCCAATTTTCGTGAGGCTTTTCTTATGCATAAATTTTAAATAATTACAAATGCAGTTTATGGTTGCGTGTTGTAAACTGATTTCCCATAGGCACAAATACGAGATTCGCATTCTTGCAAAGATATTATTTTCTAGCACGCACACACACACACACACATAAAACACATACACACTCTTTCATACGCATGCGGAGGCTCGCAAAATCGCTATACATCAATCGCCCGTTGGCAGTAGCACCTGTTGGCATCATTTCAAATAGCTGTCCATCAAAATGCTCTCCACTTTGTGTTCTGCTGCTGCCCGTTTGCTGTCAACACAAATCCAAATCCAGTTCAACGAGAATTGTTTCGCAGCAACAGCGGCAACACATCAGTCAACAACAGCCGCAGACATCTTTTGGCTATCTATCGCAGTGCACGGACTTCATAAAAATTACATAATAGTGATAGATTTCACATAAATACAAAAAATAGTAGCATTTGGTAGATTTTTTGTTTTTAAGAAACAATATTAGATAGTTTTTATTTAAAAAGGGTAAATCAAGGCGAATGTGTATAAGCTGGTGTTACCCGAACAGCTGGATTTTCGCAGTGGAGGTTCTTAATGTCAAAATGATGTATTTGTTGTGATTCTCACTGTCTTTATGCGTAAAATTTTTTATTGTAATTTTTGATTTTCTACTCTGCTATCACTTCTTATGAATTAACCTTGGGATAGGTTGTACTTTTTTATAAAACAACAAAAAATCTATTTCAAGCCAATAAAACATACATAAAAAACGAATTGAATGAAAAAAAATTATATCTGTTTTCTCGTAAAAACCTGAAAAGAAATTTCTTTTCGAATTTTATTTTATCACGGATGCCGTGATTCAGTACCTGTATTATTTGAAAAAGGGACTCCACTAATTACTCTACACTTCAAAATTTCATTACTAAAATTAGATTTGAAATACTTGAAGTTTACAGACCATTCGTTTGGCAGTCTCCCACAAAAACGTATTGCAAAAGAAAAACATTTGTATAAACAGCTGATAGACATGTATTTTCACTTTCAAATTTCTTATGGTCAGATTTAACTTTTTTTTAATTATATTCGATGGAAAAATATGTGTTTCGGATAATATTGGTAGATTTTTATCTTTTGTTTGTAAAAATGATAGAAAGTAAAATACAGTTAAAAAGTTGGTAAATCGACCAATAAAAAGGTAAAGTCCGTGCACTGATCTATCGGCTGTTGGCCGCCTAGCCACCTAGCCTAGTGTATATGTGTCAGCAATGCAGTCAAGCATGCGGAAATTGATTATTACAAGTTTATACTATTTCTTTATTCGCTTGCTCTGATGGCATTTTTTATTGTTTTTATGCACATTTCTCTTATTTTATTTGTTATTTTTGTTCTGCTTTCTTCTGCTATACCTTGCGGCTGCTC